ACAGCTAGTCATTCAGAATCTCCTTCTCCTGACCGTGGTCTAGGAGAAACAAAGTCTGAACAAGCTCCTCATTTTAATGGAGCTTCTTAAACCCTAGTTAAGCCAGCTCAGTTTCTAATTGATAAAGCGTTTTCTTCAACAATTTCTAGGATTTAGATTCACTGTTCACCCAACGATCCAACTTCTTGCCCAGGAGGTGCTATATGCATGAAATCTGTAACAAATAAAGACATTCACCTGTGCTGCTACAGTTCACTACCGCGTAAGATATGCCCGGATGAACAGGATGCACTATTACTGCCCGATGGAGAGGTGGAAGTGTGCGATGGAGCTGAAGCTGAGTGCAGCCAGGTTTGACTTGAATTTCGATAAAATTTTAAAATTTTTCAAGTTCCATGCGATCGCTTTCAAATTTTTAAAGAAAAAATTGAGTGATTTCATAAAGGTTCCATTGTCAGCGAGCGATAAAACTATCCTGTACACTGGTTTTCCACAGCGAGGGCGGGGTGGGGGAGGGGGGGACGACTTAAAAATATTCTTAAAGTAACATGTGCTAACAGCAATCACCCACTGACAAGGTTGTCGATAGTCATTACCTGCCTAAAAGCTAGTTTAGGTTTGAACTTCTGGTATGAGTCAGTACTAACTTACCATCGAAACGAAGAATGAATGAATCGTGTAGAAATTGGCTGTTCCACCGGTAAAGTCAAGCTATTGATCTTCGTGACAGTAGTACTATTAGTCGACTACTAATATTTTATTTTTCACTTCCGATGCGCGATTTATTTATTCCAGAGCGGATATACTTGTCAGGTTTCACCAGAATTATCAACCTGGGTATGTTGTGGGTATCCATCTGCAATGGCTTTGTGCGCAGATGGCCGAGAAACATTCTATCAGATTGAAGGTACCAAATTTTCCTTTTATGCTTCAGTTAGACGAGTTGGGTCAAGCACTGCTCGAAGAATATTCACGAAAATCTAACTTTGTTATTTTCATTTGTTTTTTTTTTCTTACTTATACCAAGAATACCAAGACCACTCTAACAGTTATTTTGGACACCCCAAATTAACGACGCTACTAGAATATTCCCGCACACCGAGTGTAGCTTTGCCAGGCGGTTTGAACTTGGACTATTTTCTACCAAAGTTAGTTTTAGTTTTTTATTTGATGCAGTGTGCGGCATCTTTTTGGCGATGGCTTTTGTTTTCGCGTAGTTTTCTGCGAGCACCACTGATGTACAATGCCTATCAGGTGTCGACAAGACGAGCAACATGCCTCGCTCAATCTTTCTCGTGTGGTTTGATTGGTTTATATTTGGTTGTGAAGAGACATGCCAAGCATCCTTCACTTCGTAGCTCTCACGGCTGCAACTAGCGCTCACTCTTCAACTTTCATTTGTGACCATGTTTCGCATTTATGTGGCTTCTTCCATGTGAAACTATGAATTGAATTATTCAAATTTACAGGCCAGACTTACTCCTGTAATATCGATTCTTATCCGACCAACTGCCCAGCGAAGTATGAATGCGCCCCGTCAGATCAGCCAAATATATCGGTGTGCTGTCTAATTGCAAGCGTTGAAGCTACTACCACTTCAACGACAACGAGAAGAACTGCAGTCTGGCGACCGGAATGTCC